AGACGTGTTTCGTTATTTTCGCTAAGATGGAAAAAGAGCAGTATCGTTCGGTAACTCGCTTTTTGTTTTTGGATGGGAAAAAATGCGAGGAGATGAAAACAAAGTTGGATACTGTTTATGGAGACATTTCGCCATCTACGACCACAGTTAGATATTGCTTCAACGAATTTAAACGTGGGCAAAGATCCGTTTTTGATAGGAGCGATTAGGAAGCTTGGCAAACGTTGTTACCGAGGAAATCATTTTACGGATTTTTTGGAAAAGGAATAACGATCACTGGACAATACTACAGTGAGTTGTTGGACCGCTTCGACAAAAAATTGAAGGAGACACGGACGCATTTGACGAAAAAGAAGGTGCGATAACGCACCGGCACATTCATCAGGAGTTGTTGCCGCCAAAATGCATCCTCATCATATCGCCTGTAACACCACCACATTTCGAAGGCTTCTAACCTTTTCTTTTCCGTAGCGGCCACTGTCCATGTTTCGTACCCGTACAGCGTGACGCTTCAAACATACATCTTTAATATTCTTTTTCGAATTTCTAAATTAACCGTTCGCGAGCATAAAAGTTACTTCTTCTTGTATTATATACTGTACAAATAAAAATGAAACAGTAGCGTACATACCTTCTATCTAAAATAATGCCCCCAAGATGGGATTTCTCATTACCATTACAAAGACCTGCCACAAACGATTCGCGACTGTCACATTTTACTGCGGTAAATCCCCCCGTTGACAATGACTCTGCATAAAATCTCGTTGACCGAAAATGATTGCAGGTTTCGTTTCCGTTGCAGCCAGGTTGGTCGTTTGTATTAGCGTAATAGTCGGCATGCCCGACTGGAGTTTGTATTCCTGTAATACTGGTATGTATTACATGAACATAGCGAGCCCTGCTGGAACCGATAACTATTGGAGGTCTGTCTCCTGGATCAAGGGCTACAATAGTGTCCAGGTTTCCATTAAATAGTTTTCCTATAAATACAAAACTTCATAAAAATTTTTATAAACAAGACATCGTGGGCTGTTCATATGCGAAAATTGAAAGTATTTATGTGTTACACATATATTTGTAATGCATATTAGAACCTTACATGTATGAGATTAAACATTGCAAAAATTAACGAGAAATATCTGATAAGCAATTGCAGGCGGCATATTGAAGACATTTCAATTTTAAGCTTATCAATTAATTGTACTGAGTTGTACAAGTATAGAAACTCGGCTGTGAAGTAGATTGTATTAAAAAACATACTTGAACGCATTCAATTTAATCGCCACTTTGGATATGTGCACCTTAGTCATTGTTGTTTTTATGTCATAAACTTCAATCGGTTCATTCATTTGCAAGTAATTCCCTGTGTATCAATTTTTTAAGAGATGGATTTCGATAAGCAACGTTTATGCCATTGCATTCTGGTATGTTTTCAAATGAAAAGGAATGTTGCTCAAACAATATTTATTGGAATTGAGATTGATTAATTCGAATTTGGATGAACATTGTGTGAGTCACTCCATTCTACAGCAAATCTTCGTGATGGATATTTCAGTCTTCAGGATGATCCACGTCCAAACGCAGTAAAACAATTTGATTTGAAAAAATTCATTCCAGAGTCAATAAAGCTTACAGAACAGTCAGCAGTTATTCATCAAGCAATATCAGTTCGATTACAGGCAATGGGAAGAAAGGAGTCATTCACTGCAAGTTTCTGGAACCTGATGGTGAAGTTGAACTTTACCAGGCCCATTTGATCAAAGTGATTCTTTGAAGGAAAAAAGACCACATACAGCGAAACCAAGGAGATCAACCTCTTCTTAAGATGGAATTTTGTCCAACAGGCGGCATATTCTTCAGCCTCGACTCCTTTTGATTACCACCTATTCAAATCAATGTCGTCATATTCAAGAAACCAGCTCAACGATTCACAAAAGTTGAAGATGTTCCAGAATGGTTCGATGACTGTTTTGGTTCGAAGCCGCCAATTTTCTATCACAAGAGTGTTTAGCACCTTTGCAATAAATGGCAAAAGATCATAGACAGTAATAGTGAATGTTTCTATTATTAATTATCGTACTAGCTATTTTTTCATTAAAGTCCTCCTTGACAAACAAACCGAGTTTCTATTTGCACATTATTAGAATCTTTAGTGGTGTGACTTGACTGAGTCCGGACCTCTGAAGAATGAGTCAGCGAATCTGACGATGCTTACCGATTTGTCCACAAATATGCGTCCCCATACTAAATCCTACTAAAGTAATGCTGTGTAAATCAATTGAGTACTCGGTCAATATTAATTGTATGTAGTCTGTAACGATTCGCCCGGTATCTTCAATTGCTTGTGTTCTCCAGGTTAGGTTACTCGCCGGTCCACTATAGTCCACCAAAAATAAGTTTACATCGGCAACGTCCAACAGTGGTTCTTTAATGTACATGCTAGATAAGTAATTATCAACTGATCCATGAAATACAATGTAATTCGGTAACGAGCTATTGAAATGAGACTGACGTAAGTCGGAAAGATCGTTGGTGTGTAAGAAGTCAGGTGTATCGGGATTAGCACGAGTGTACAAATAGGCTGTTATATTTTCGGTTGTTATGAGAACACCCTCAGCAGTTACTCCTAAAAATATTAGATGAGTACGATTTTCAATGGAAAACTAATTTACTTACTGACTGGTAATACTCCAAATATGAAGGGAATCAGTAACAGAATTCGCGTTTTCGAAGTCATTGTGTCGAATTGACTATTGAGAATTATTAACCGAGAGCGTATATGTAGAAGTAAATTTACACGATTTTTGTTTTATATGAGTGGTTTTTGATTTTTATATTTTAATCAACTTCTCTAGATAGATATTTACAGTACAGAAAGTTGTTTTTTAAGATAAAATTGTTTATTATGTTCTTACTGTCATGTTTACCTCTGCATATCAATTACGACAAAAAGCTATTAACCTATACCGACAATTGATATATTCGTAGAAACTGCAATAACTTGTCCTTTATATTAGTGTAACTTGGTCAGATAATTATTGATAAGTACTGAACACAGAGTTGAAGCCCTTCATGATTTTCATTTCTAGAGTATGTTATCGAAGTATTCTTTCTTTTATTTCCTGATTTACTCATTTTTTGACTGACACATAAAGGGGAAATATAAGAAACTATTTAAAATTAAAATATTGATATTGGTAAAGTCTATTTTTGACTTATTAAAGGAAGTACCAGAATGATACACGATTAATTAAAAATTAAATTGATAACTGTAACGATAATATGCTACCTACTAATTTTTTGTTGCACATTTTAACGGTAGCCAAACAGTTTGTATTATAACCAAACATATTGTAAGTGTTTTAATTTGATAATGGTAATTTATTTATTTAGTAAAGAAATTACTAACGAAATCCAATGTAAATTGGCAAAATATTGATTAAACCAATTTCAGATGCAATCAAATGCTTTGTTAATAAGTAATAAGTCTCATTCTAGTGCGAGTGTACCAATAGGTTGTAACATTTTCAGTTATTACGTGAAAACGTCTTCAACATTTATATGATAAGACTTATATCTTAGATTATTATGTAATACACCTAATCAACGTCTTCAGATACGTACGTATTACACCTAGAATGAAGTTTTAAAGATAAAACTGCTTGTGTTCTTTCCGTCATGATTATCAATTTGTTATTTTTTATTTAATTAATATAACTGAATGAATGACAGGTTCAAGAGTTCTAGAAAACAATGAAATCGCTATATTTTAGCATAGATTTGTTTTAACATTTATAACTGCAAGTCATATCATTTCAGGAAAGCCCTTTCCAGACAAAGGAAAACGTCCCTCTTATTTCTAAAACCCCCAGATAATCGTCATTAACAATTAATACAAAAAATTCTTCAAAAGGCCTTTCTCTTATTAAGCTAACGCAAGCATGTAATAATTAATCCTGGAATCCTTGAATTAATTACCTATTTATTTGTAAAAAAGTAATGCAACAGTGATGAATAAAACGATGGAATTAAAAACCAATTTTTAATAAAAAAATTCATTTCATTTCATTCATTTCATTCATTCATTCAATTTTTAATTAAAAATCCAATTATGGTATGTTATAATATTTTTCGATTAACAATTAGATTAACTGATTTTGTATCCACAATAGATAGGTACTATTTTACAGATCCAAGATGTCAATTTGACTATTCCTTAAAAACATCATCATTAGTCTAAGGAAAATGGAGAGTCACTATTGGTCCATAAGTAATACGATCCAGTTGCGCTAAAAAAGAACATAAGCATTGACAGATAAAAATTCTTCTGAGCGCTAACAAATTTTTTTCTAATCAATCATTTTTGAAGGTGTACCGGCAACATGCATATTGTATATTGTCACATAGTGTTCATAATTTCCGAAATTATATTTTTCATTATCATTATATTTATCATTATCATATTGGTGTGGACAAAATTCCAAAAGTTCCACGTGACGATGACGAAAACAAACACTATGTGTCAAAGGTAAATGAGTAAAGGGGAGATAATGCGAAATCCGTATAATTCAGGAATCTGGAATCCTCCCTTGGCGAGCGAACCACCGGATCCCCATGCACCGAATAGTTGAAGAAATGAAGACAGAGGAGAATGAAAGATTATCTGTGGAATATTACTACCCCAGCATTTGCCTAAGTGATTCAAGGAAATCACAGAAAAACTTGGAGCAAGGCAGACGGACCCGGAATTGAACCGGAGTCCTCCCGAAAGCTAAGCAATGGTCTAAACCTCTAGGCCATGCCGCTCGGTACGATAAAATGTTCTTTCATAAGTATAAGTACTTACCTTTTTTCTAAGTTTAAACCCCCGAGATGAGCTTTAGCATTACCATTGCAAAGCCCAACGGAAAATAATTCGTAACTGTCACACTTTACTGATGTAAATCCCCCTGATATAAGCGATTCGGCATAATATTTAGTTGCTCTGAAATGGTTGCATTCATTATTCCCATTGCAACCGGGTTGTTGATTAGCATCATTAGCAAAGAAGTCGAGATGTCCAACTGCAGTTTTTATTGCAATATTACTGGTGTGTATTGCCTGAACATAGTTCGCTTTAGTTCTATCAATGTAAGAAGGTGATAGTTCAGGTGGGTCCAAAGCGATAATGGTATTTATATCTCCATCAAGAAGTCTTCCTGTCCAAAGAGAATAAAAGAATTATTGCATACATTTTGTTTCACCTCTATTTAAAGGTAGGTAGATTATTAGAAGAAGTTACTGATTTTCGGCATCTAGGAAGTCAGATAATTCAGAATTCAATAAATCAGATAATAGCGCAAGGTAGTGTCGCTTTTAACAAAAAGCAGTTACTTTTATGCTTGGGAACGGTTAATCTAGAAATTTGATAAAGATTGTTAAAGGTATACGTCTGGAGCACGTGGTGCTGTAGACAAATGATGAGGATACTGTAGACCAAGAAGATTAGAAATGAGAAAGTACCTTTTAGAAAAAGCAGGAAAATGAAATGCATTATAGAAGCCAATAAGTAATAGGCGAGACAGGTTGATATAACACCTTCTCAGGAATGAAGAGATGGTTAGTGACATATTAGAAACAAAAATAGGAGTTAAGAAGAGTAGAGATAGGCCAGACAGTTAAGGATGGGATGTCCTGGTTGAAGGTGCGTGTTCAACCAGACCTAAAAGGATTGATGGCCCTATGATAATAATGACAATGACTTACTGAATTACCCAAAAAACAAACAATTAATTGTAAGTACAAAATGCGCCTAGTAATATTATTTAAATTGTGCTCGAATCGCAAAAGACAAAGATGTCTTAGTAGACCTTTAAATTACCAATAGGTTACCTACCTATCTCTCCGGCAATATGACATCCTAGACTAAATCCTACCAAAATAAACTTGTCCGAACCAACATTGTATTGTCTTTTTATTAAATTAATATACTCGGCGGTAATTTGGGCTGTTCCTTCGATAGCTTCCTTGGCCCAATCCCAACTGCTTGCAGGTCGACTGTAATCCACCAGGAATAAATTGACATCTGCCACAGTTAACAATGGGTCCCTGATATAAAGACTCGACCTGTAGTTGTTAACAATGCCATGAAAGACGATATAGTTCGGTAGTGAACTATTAAATTTTGAACTAGATAGATCGCTGAGATCGCTAGATCTTAAAGCTTGAGGATTATCACGATTTGGTTGAGTATAGAGGTAGAGTGTGATGTCGTCAGGCGTCACAATAATTTCATCACAAATGACCCCTGAAAATTAAGTCAAGTGATATTAAAAATATTGTATATTGAAAAAAGTCCAAAATTGTGGTATTTTGGTGATATTGATGGAAAGTACTGTTGAAAGTATGATTTTATCTATGCAATTAGAGAAAAGCATTGTACAATTCTATTTATTTACTGTCCTAACAATGAGAATATATTTTGTTTTATCGTCAAATAGTGTACTTACGGTTATATTGCACAGAGAGTATTAAAACTCCTGTTAAAAACACTGAAACATCGAAAACCATGATTATAATATTTATCAAGTGCCTTGTACTCTAATAAAATAATGACAGTGTTGTACCTATTAATGTAAACTGTGAACAGTTCAAAATCTTCACTGCATTAAATAGGATACGTAAGTACTACTTATAATTTATCACTTTATTATCAGATTCCAAGAGACTAGGAAAAAGCTCCCGTTCGAAGTCCTTTTCAGTGACAATAACAATATTAGACTAAAAACTTAAAACTAAAAGTAAGGTAAACGTTATAAATTAGTATTAAACAATAGTCCAGTGAACATAATTGCGTCTATCAACTTCAGTGTTCTGTGGACTTTACAAAAAAATTAAAAGACATGTTTCGCTAAATAGGACCCTTGTCACTGGTAAGAGAGAACAAAACGTTTAAGTAAAAGTGTTTACAACAAAAACGATGTAAACAAACTTTTAGAAGGTTACTCGTTATGGATAGATGTATTAATCCTCTTTAAAGCGTTTAACTCAAAGAAAGCCTAGTGTTTACTTGATTTTCTTTGTCTTTGTTTTTGTTCTCTGCTTTAGTGAAACGAATTCACGTCAATAGTTTAGTCATGTACAAAAGTATATCGGTGCATGCAACGCTATTACTGTAGGCAATGGGTATGTTAAAGTTTCAAGTTTCTATCACGTCTTATTTTCTTGTGCAGTTTTTGAAGATGAACATAAGCATAAAATTTACCATCTTTTTTCCATTTTTCTTGTTATGTTAATGTTTTTGAAGTAAGAAGACAGTTTTCAATATTACAAGAAAAGTTAAAAACTTTACATATTTTGGGGGTAATGTTTGCTATTAGCCTTAAAATACCTGTGCATCATTTTCTTAGGCTTATTCCAAGAATTTTTATCGTCGGTTTTCCTTGAATAATATTTAATAAAATTAAAATAGGTAGATACCTACCTATATACTGCGTATGTTTTTGTTTTATCTAATAATAATATAAACAGGAAAGTCTAAAGAGGGTACTCAACTTTTTTTTGTATTTGTAACGCATTATGAAATTATTGTTATTTAATCTAAACTGGCCATATTCCGAACTTTGACAGCGTTTTAAGATACAACTTTTTATAAATAAAAACCTTCTAACCCTTAATTGCTTTGAACTTCTTTTAATTTATCCAAACTAAGAAATGAAATGGATAATAGATTATTATTATTTATTTAATTTTTAGTAGAACGTAATATACAGTTTAGAACTTTTTAAATACAATACTACGAAAGCGATTCCTTCGAATAGGGTGGTTTGCTGTTAGTGGCCAAATAGAATTTTCCATTTGCACTGAAACAAAATATTAATTAATAGCCTGCTCATTAAATAAACATATCTGGGTAATTTCATGGATGAACGCCGCGGGCTGCCATCGTTACGACGCGGCGGCACCTTATGTGCCGCTGCCAAGAGCCAACATCGAAACGAAAAGTATCATTACAAAAATTATAAATAGCAAAATAAAACAATTAAGTGATAAAGGAATCTTAAGATATATCTTAAAAAGCAGCGTTAGTTGAATAGATAAATGTTGCAGTAAAAATATAAAGTTAAAATGTAAGTATGCAACAAACAAATAAAATACTTGATTAGAGTATGTCATTGATTCGATATAGAAACTATTTACGGTATAAGTTGCAAAATAATAAGATATACTTCAGGTGTTTATATAAATGAATGAAAGAAATGAAATATGTTTGTGCGTAATACATGTCACCATTCTTATGCTTGGTTCATATATCTAATAAACTCACGATGCTGATACATCTACGTGACTATAGCAAAAAAGAAACCGAGGAGAATAAGCTTTCTGGAAAAAAGACATTCTATGACTGTTTATGTATATAAGCATCCGACGAAATGTAAGAAAGTTGAAAATCCATACGGTGATATAGTTAGATAGATAAGTGATACAAATAATACACGCTGAGATAAATCTGCATAAATCTTCGCTGAGGTATACTTTCTCTAGCGATATGCCCCTTCCAGTGTCTTAGATGCACTCTGGCAAAATCGTAGGTAGGGAGAAAAAAGCTCATTATACTCTCGACTCTTGAACATTAAATATATTTTTTCCTCACCGGTTAAGAGTTTGGCCGAGAGTTGTCTCCTTTTTCTGGCCTAGCGCTGTTCTTTACTACTTTGCGCCGGTCAATCTGAAGGACACACCGCTACAGAAAGTATACGAAGTATACGCCTCGTACAATTCCTTATTAAAAAATAAAGTGAAATTATTTATAACCCACCTTTTATCTATATCGATTCCACCAAGATATGATTTCTGGTTAGAATTGCATAAGCCAAACAAGAAAGCCTTATAATTTTCGCATTCAACTGCAGAGAATCCTCCACTTTCTAGAGACTCTACGTAATAATCAATTGCTCTTTCATGAGAGCACATGGCGTTATAGTTACAGCCAGGTTGATCGATCGTGTTTACGAAATAAGATGCGTGTCCTACTGGAACTGTTAG